TTGCTGGCATGTCTGCTTGTAGCACAGCTTTAAACTCTCCATGTCTGTTTGAGTCTTCCAGTTTCATGACTACTCGGTCTCTTGTTTCGCTATTTTCAACCCTGCGTGTGACTCATGTTGGCTCTCTTCAGTGCTTAACTTGATTCATTTGTCTTTTTCTCAGTTGCTCTGACTTGCACAAACGCAGTACCAATGAATTCAGAATTAATTACGGATGGAGAGAAGAGCAAAGTGTGATTTGAGACTTACCGAGTCCAGGTATGAAGGTGTTCAGAAAAAGACAGATGACAGCCAGAGGGAAAGGCATTGTGGGTATCGCAGCCCGCAGAGGTCCCTTCTTCTCCCTGACCTCCACCACCACTCCTCCACCTGCTGTAGGGGCCCCTGCCATGACTTTGGCCCCAAGATGGTCACCTGTCTTAACCCGCCCCTGCTCTGTTCCCCCTTCTTTCTGTGCCATTTCTCTTTCTTTCTTCTTCTCTTTCTGAGACTAAAACTAGTTGGTAATAATGGACTAAAATAATCGAGTTTGATCACAATCACCACCTATGTCATTCACTAGCAAATAAATATCAACATCACTAAGTTGTCTAAAAGTAGTGTAAATATATGGTAAATTGGTTAATGAAGATATAAATGTTAAATTCTACTCCAGAGGAAAATAATGAAATATTCCAAAGAATATCCTGCTGTCTAAAAGCTTTTCATCAATATTCATGTAAATTTCAGTCTTGCCCGGAGAGTAGTTATCTCCAACAGTTTCTGAATTTCCTTTCAAAGTCCCCTCACAGCTGTTTACGTCCCACCAAGAAACAATTATGAAGCAAAGCAAGATATTTTCTTGGAGAAATCTTTTCAAGACTATTAGCTTATCCTCATTTAAATCCTTTTAAGTCCTTAAAAGTGAGCACACTGTCTCATCAGAGGTCAGTGGTATCTGCCATTTGTTTCCATGTCCAACATGTTCTTAAGGAATGTTGAATCTGTGTCAGTTCCTCCTTAAAAAAATCCTGGAAAGATGTGCAGCTCTTTTCAGCAATTTCCTCTGAAGTCACTTTCTCGTTCTCCTTTCTTTCTTTTCTTTCTTTCAGTCAAACCACCCTCAACCCACACACCTCTCCAAGACAAAGTGCACAACAGAACCCCCCTTTTTCTACTACGTCTCCCTCTCTCCCTCTCTCTCTCTCTCCCTCTCCAAACCTCCCACTGCTCCCCATCCTCTCCCTCCATTTAAAGGAACAGTGCACCGATCTAATGTTACCGCTTAATGAGATCACATTCAACAAGCCGTTATTCACTGAATGGCTAAATTAATTTAACTCTCATTCAAATTATTTATGTAAAGGACAAATATAATCCCTTGATAATCTTTGCCATAGTTTAATCCTAATAGATTGTAGTACTGATGATGGCCTAGAGAAATAAAGAAACATTTGCAAATGTCCCCAGTCTGTAGTAGTAGTTCCTTAGAAAGGATGCTAATGATAATGTGCTATTGTAAAGCATGTTTTCAAACCTAACTGTTACTCAGCCCTGTGAATATACAATCAGATTCATAGCTATAGAAACCGATATTGTCGGCAAAGAAAGGAACATGAAAACAAGGATGGCAGGAGAAAGAGGAAAACAAGCAGAAGAATGGGATGTAAAGAAACAATATTGAGTGATAAGTCAAGGCGGAAGGAGAGAAAAGTAAAACAAAGCCAGGACAAAGTGGATGTGGGGTAAGAGAAGATAAAAGCGAGTGGAGGGCGGTCAGGACGATGGACGATAAAGAGGCAGACAGTGTCAATATCTCAGTAATTATTTATACTAGCCATCCCCTATGGATCAGACATATCTTTCTGTGCATTCATCCCCACCTCCCCTAAATCTGTTTGTCTCAGTATGTTACCTCCTCCTCTTCTTTTTCTTCTTCATCCTCACCTCTTCTCCATTCTGTTGGCATGAGCTCTATTTAAACACAGGTGGCAAAAACACAATAAAAATCAGTGCAACCTTGAAATTATTTTCAGCTTTTATGTTTGTTTGTGTGTGTGTGTTCTCTCTCTCTCTCTCTCTCTCTCTCTCTCTCTCTGTCTGTCTCATCTTCTTCTTCTCTTTCCCTCTCTCCAATCTCTATTTGGTCTCCTAGCAACCCAGGAAGCTGTAGGTAATTATATGGAAGATATTGATCTCTAGCTTTTTGGTCCCTTCTCTATC